AAAGCTGCTTGAAATGGATCTTATTTTTTAAATAAATTATAACCAATCTTCTTTAATGATTTATGAGATTATTGAAGCCCTTATATATACAAGAACATGGAAATTCATTTGCATGAAGGTTGCAGTATTGTTTCAGGTTTGTAAATTTTTGTATGAAATAGTGTGTATGTGTTATGTAAAATTAGCATAAAATACTATTAAAACATTTTTTAAGCAAAACGTTTCAAAATATTACCAATCTACTTGTTTTTCTTTTAAATAATCTATAAAGAAGAAAGGATAGCACTGATTAAAGGAAAAGAAAAATCAAAACCAGTGCTGATTTATATTTTTAAAAAGTTCTTGTTCATCTTCTTGCAGTTTACTTGATCCCTTACTAGATACGTTCTTCTGTAGTGGGCAAGGAGAAAGCCAGATGGACACCTTACGTAAAATGTGTTGCTTTATGTAGCTAGAGAAGGAGACAGCACCCTGCTCCCATTATTCTGCTGTCCAGTTTGCTTATGCCTCCTTCCCCACGTATCTCCACCATTACAGAGCAGCTCTTGTGAAGGTGGGAACTGAGCCATCACGCTTCTTGTGGGGAAACTAGAAACGAATACAATGTGAAAAAATGGTTTCTGTGCTCTCCCTCTGCTGCCCTCCCATCCTTATAAAGGTGACTCCTTATATTCTTTTAAAGTTTACACACCCTCAAGCACATCCTGAAGGTCCTCTGAACTAAACTCTTAAGTATTTGAGTAATACTGAATGATACAGTTCAATAAACTGGCCTTTGTATTACTAAAGAAGTACAGTCTACAGTTAAGTTCAAGGAAAATGGAAATGAAAATGGATCTACTGGATCCAGTAATGACTGATAAATTGCCATTAAATATTGAAAACATACATGGTAAATAAATATGAAAAATACACAGGAAAAAGGAAAATAAGATCAAAGTTAACATAGAACTATGAGTTTGCTGAGATTTTTTCCAAGTTCTGTCAAGATGTGATCAACATAATACATTCATTGAGCTGATTCATGGCATTTACCTCATTTTATGCTGGCATTACTGGCTTCAGCAAGCTTGACTGACAGAAGTACAACAATTCTTGTTACAACAAATATTTACAAATATTGTTACAAAACAGCATATCCAAGCAGCTGAATCAGCTTTCTACATTTCCTCATTAATGTTACTGTCAGAGGGAATTTTTCTTTGACAGTCTCTGCTATATAGATAATACTTAAAATTACAGATAATACTTTAAAATCTGTACTGTAAAAGCATGCATACACTCTATTAGAATTAGGAATTCAGCGAGAACAGTGTAATGGGATCTATATTTAGACTGGAAAAAAAGAACTTCATTTTTTTATATAATTACTTTTGCACTTCTCAAAGTTTGGAAGGTTCCCTTTTTTCCATTGATCTATCATTCAAGGTAAAGTATCAGTTCAAATTCTTATTGATCAAGGAGATAAAATCATTGCTTAATTTTATATCATACTGTACCATGAAATCCCTCTTTTGCATTCTGATTCATTCTATTAACAATTTTTTATGTCTTATGAGTCATTTTGCTCATATGATGACCACAATAACAATATTTGAGCTTTTAAAATTTATATTCAAACTGAATTGTTTTATCCAAGGAAAGATCACTTAAAATTAAATGAAAACTACTATGTACTTTTCCAAGAGCACAACAATTTCAGAAAATTAAAAAAATGCTTTGATAATCACTGGGCCAACTCAGGAACTTCTTATCTAGATTTTATTTGTGAAAAACTCTTAATGGCAGAATGAATTCTGTTTGCATAAAGTTTGTAAATATCCAATAGTTATCAAAAAATAAGTGGACATAATGGAGAAACTACGTATTTTGAAAATGTTTTTCCAGTTTAAGTCAGATCACACCCCCATTTTCAAAGCTTCCCATAAGTCTGAATAAGTTAAAAATACCGTCCAGAAAATATTAACCCAAGTAATTTCTGAGATTAAATATTCTTTTCAGTAACTCAGTAAAAGTTGATGAAAAATGGCATTTAAGCCAAGAGATGCTCATATTGGCAATCTCAGCTGAACGAATGATTCCTAGGAAATCAAGGACAGTCTCCCTCCCAACCTCCCAGCTTTGTAAAGAAAAACCTGAGAATCCTAAGAATTTCCACGCTTTCCAGATGTATAAATGGAATTTTCTGTATTTCAGTTTGTGTCTATTGCCTGTTCTCTTTTTCCAGAACACCACTGAGGAAGAGCCTGGCTCCACCTTCACTCCGCTCCATCCGGCATTTATACACATGGCTAAACTCCCCAAGCCTTCTCTTCTCCAGGCATAACAGTCCAAGCTCTCACAGCATCTCCTCATATGACAGATGCTCCACTACCTTAATCATCACCATGGCCCTTTGCTCCACTCTCTCCAGTATGACCATGTCTCTCCTGCACAGAGGAGCCCAGAATTAGACCCAGCACTCCAGATTTGACCTCACCAGTGCTGAGCAGAGGGGAAGGATCACCTCCCTCGACCTGCTGGCAATGCTCTGCCTACTGTAGCCCAAGGAGCTATTGGCCTTCTTTGCCAAAAGGGCACATTGCCAGTTCCTGTTCAATTTGTTGTCCTCCAGGACCCCCCCAGCACCTTTTCTGCAGAGCTGCTTTCCAGCTGGTCAGCCCCCAGCCTGTAATGGTGCTTCCCAAGTGCAGGAGTTTGCGTTTCCCCTTGCTGAATTTCACGAGACTCGTGTTCACCCATTTCTCCAGCCTGTCAGGGTCCTTCCAAGTGACAGCACAACCACCGGCCTGTCAACTACTCCTCCCAATTTTACATCATCTGCAGACTTGCTGTCCTGGTTTCGGTTGGGATAGAGTTAATTTTCTTCCTAGTAGCTGGTACAGTGCTGTGTTTTGGATTTA